GTAGTGATACTGCCTCGGAAACCCAAGGAGGGGTCGCTATGAGTCGGGGCCGACTCGATGGCAAACAACAACAACAACAACATTGCAATGACAAAGGAGCCCTGGTGGCACAGTGGTAAAGTGCTCCATTGCTACATGAAAGGTAGGCAGTTCTAACCTACCAGACGCTCTGTGGGGGAAGATGAGGCAATTTGCTTCTGTAAAGATTTACAGCCTTGGAAACCCTGTGGGGCAGTTCTACTCTGTCCTACAGGGCCACTTGTTGTTGTTGTTGTTTGCCATTGAGTCGGCCCCAACTCATAGCGACCCCTCCTTGGGTTTCCAAGGCAGTATCAGTACGGAAGTAGGATTGCCCAACCTTCCTTCCGAGGAGCGGCTGGTGGGTTTGAACCGTCAGCCTTCTGGTGAGCAGTCAAGTGCCTTAGGCACTATGCTACCAGAGCTCCCAGGGCCACTAGGAGTCAGAATTCAACTGCATGGCAATGTTCTTTTTTTTTTCCTTCTTTTTTTGATTATTGCAGTCATATTTAAAGTTGAAAGTTGTTTTGGTGCATCTAGTTGGCTTTGTTATTTGAAGAGGCCCTATGAACAAATGTCTTTGTCCTTTATGAGAAAAAGCTTATAGAATATTGCCATATCATGCTTGAAGAGAAATAAAAGAAAAAGATTCAATGTTTTTTAGAAGGCAAAAGAGGTAGTAAGTTCTGGGACTTTCTCACCGTAAGACCTGCAATTCCAATACCGACAATCCCAATGAGCTGGAGCTTAACACTGATTATGGTCTCAATTTCATCAATACAATTCTGTTTTGAAGAAAAATAAAAGTCAGGAATAAGGAATAATAACTGATTCGACATATGAAATCACCTGGACTCATTCCTTTTCTTCTCCACAGATCACACCATGAAAGTTAATCCACACCCACTTCTGCTAATATTTAAACTATTCCTCCCAGATAACATCATCCTGAGAACCTTAAAGCAAAAATGTCATTTGTGGAAAAATGATATACTCCTGTCCTTTTGGTGGGAGGTTCCTGTTGAGATTGGGAGCTGCTTTAGGGCCTTGAAACCTGGCTAGAGGAAGCAATTCTGGCATCTGGGGGTTTTTTACTTTCAGAAAATAATAGTAAGTAAAATATCCATAAGATAATAGCTCATTACTTTCAGATTATAATTTACCACTCAACTGGAGTCTCCTTGATTCCAATTTTGCCTTCCTTCAACCTTTCCTCCCCACCATTATCCCAGGTACTTCTAACCTATGGTGGCTCACCTTTGCCTTAAAGATAAAGATCAAGCTCTCTAAAGGGGCATACCTCTATTACCTAATCCTGATGACTTCTCCAGTGTCATTTCCTGCTACTGCTGCCATACCCTTCTATCCCTATCAATTCTTATAGCATGCTCTTTTCTACTTCAGCTGTACTAAAACACCTGCAGGTGCCCAGACACACTATACTTTGCATCTTTGCATATGGTATTCCCTTTGCCTAGATTTTGGGTTTGGAAATCCTTAAATTCCATATAGAGGTAGCAGTTTTTGACAGATACTTTATACAAATTAATTGTTATGTCATTAGCATGTTATACCTATTATCTAACTTAATTTCACAACAATCCAGTGAGGTTGGTGTATTATAATGTCTGTTTTACACATAACAGAGTTGAGGTACAGTCAAACTTTCTTCCAGTCCCAGAGCTTATAAGTAATGGAACCAGGAGTTGGATCCTGACAGTGTGATGCTAGAGCTTGCACTCTTAATCACCAAGCGACACCACTTCTTCTCATCAGAGGGTGAGAGAGAATGTTATTTTGAATTTCTAGTAGTCAGTAGAAACCCAGAACTGAGTCACTTACCTAGTTTAAATTTGGTAGCCTTAAAAAGGGAAGCTATTGGAAGCTCTGGTAGCATAGTGGCTAAGGCACTTGACTGCTAACCAGAAGGCTGGCGGTTCAAACCCACCAGCCACTCCTCGGAAGGAAGGTTGG